TCTTGCGTAATTCGTACACCCAAGGGCAGAAGGATTTAATCGCCGTCAGGTCCGAAGTCCATACGCCGCCTCAGCTCTGCGGATGTCTCGGGGGTATGGCAAAGTGGAATCGCATTCTCCAAATATTTTTTTAGGTGGGTTCGAATCCCGTCTTATCCACATAAGATTTTTTTTTTTCTTTAATCCATTTTTTATTAGATTTCAAATCTTCGACAATTTACTCCTATTCGGTTGCTTATGAGCCTGTTTAAGTTCGATCAGACGTTATCAGTCATATAAGCAACATCTCCGTGAAAAGTAGACCTATGCTTTCCTATTTTTCCTGGCAAAGTTTACTGACAATAACATTTACTGCACTTGGATCATCATATGCCCGCAAAGGACTAGTGGGTGGTGCCGTAAAGACTTCTGTTTTTACTATTGCACTATTTGGAGATTCTGACAGAGAACATTGTTGGGATATTTGATCTTCTTGCTTCATGGAGCAAGATCAAATTCACAAAACGGTTTATTTTGTGACCTAAAAAAGGGCAGAACCTGCAAATATCTTAATATCATGTAGAGAACACCTTAAGGGAGAAAATCGTCTTAGACAAGTTAAACGCAGCCATTCTTTTCTATGAACCATTCCATTATCTTTTGACTAACATTGCAACGAGCTCGAGGCCTCTGTGCATGATACAGGAAACTCATGCAACCCAGTGAACGCCTGTAGCTCGTCTTGTTTTATTTGAAAATAGAGAGAATTTTGATTAGACAATCCTATATGAAAACACTAAATGGCTGTCAGCCGGTCATTGAGACATTCCTATATGAAAACTCAGCTCAACTGTTCAAAACCCTGACCGTCAGAGGCGAAAGGCGGGTGTTCTACCAGCAGGCCATCCTGTAGAACGCTAGATGTGAATTATGATAATAAAAATGATCAGCTTAAACTCCACAACAAAACATAAAACGCAAGCAATTTTTACTGACGTTTACCTTTATATAGTTAAACAAGCCTAAGAAACGGAAACATAGTAAATGTTGGTGAAATCCTCGATAGTAAGTCCGGGACACCAAGTAAATGAAGGAGCACTAGCAAAGACACTATTTTTTCACCCAATGACGTATTGTCAGCCATATTCTCCCATATTTTCAGCCGGTCAGACCATTACTATGGGTTTAAAGGCTGATTTATAACGAATAACATAAAGTTAAAAAAGAGATTTTGCCTTTTTTTGTCTCTTTCGTCGTCCCTTCCATTTTTTGAGAGAATCCTTTTATTAGGGGATTATAGCTTAATTTTGATTGGTTAAGCAAGCGTGGAATATTAAACGTATGCCACAGGAAGCCCGCTGAAAGTGAATGAAAGTTGCTGCAAAATCTGTTGAATATTTCTCCAAAATTTAACGCTGAAAATCTTAAGTAAACTTTGATTATCAATGGAAGACCAAGCTATGTACCAAGCACCTATAAATTGGGAGTCAAGTTTAATTCAATCGCCAAAGAAACGACGAAAACTTATCAACAACAACGAGGACGCAAACCACGCTAATTTTCATGACGTTTCTCCAACTTCTTTCACTTGTTGTAAAAGATTTTTACCCATCAATTCAAGTAACTTCATCTACGAGTCTGAGGAGTATAAATCTAAGGGAGAGACGCTTTATGTTCCACTTAGAGAGAGCGTTTTGGTGAACGTACAGAATATTGAGCAGTTTTCTTTCAAACAAGGGTCGTTCTTCATTGGCGACGAGTCATCAAGATTTAGCAAAGTTGTACAAGGTAAAACTGAAGTAAAGATTAATGATAAATGTGATGAATCTTCGAGAAAATAGAGATTTTGCTTTATTGTCCAAAATATGCTTAGGCCACGAGGAAGTTGACAATCTGTTTTTGTCAGGGGAGGGGTGGGTGTGTAAGGTACCAGACAAATTTCAAAATGCACCTACTGCTATCGAGTTGGCATAGTATTTAAACTAAATTCTATAAAATATTGCTACTCCACCACCATTTTTCGATAGAGAGAGAGAGAAAGTAAACTAAAACGATAAACCGATAACTCATTTTATAGGTGTTGCATTACATTTATGGCGCTATAGTGATACACAGCAGAAATTGTACATATCAAGGTCTTTCGTATTCACCAACATCCAGGTAAAATTTATATTATACATTATTTGTTATTCAAAACTTACCTTAGTTGTGATCATTTCCAAGGGTGTGATGTTCAATGACAGATGTAGTTGGTTGCCTTGGTTACCAATAGCAATAAATTTGGTTGCCTTGGATACCAAACCTGATATAGCACAAATTAACAGACAGCATGCTGTTGTCTTAAAAGACACAGTTTTGCTTCAAACATTATTGATACCTTGAAACAGCCTCTGGACTGATTTAGCCAGGGCACAGCTAACTCACTGATGGAACCCTGAAGCAACCTCTGTGCTTGATCAAAGTCAGGGCATGGCTAACTCACAGATTGAACCCTGAAACAACCTCTGGGTTGATCAAAGTCAGGGCACGGCTAACTCACAGATGGAAACCTGAAACAACCTCTGGGCTGATCTAAGTCAGGGCATGGCTAACTCGCAGATTGAATCCTGAAACAACCTCTGGGCTGATCTAAGTCAGGGCGTGGCTAACTCACAGATTGAACCATGAAACAACCTCTGGGTTGATCTAAGTCAGGGCACAGCTAGCTCACAGATGGAAACCTGAAACAACCTCTGGGCTGATCAAAGTCAGGGCATGGCTAACACAGATGGAACCCTGAAACAACCTCTGGGCCTGATCAAAGTCAGGGCATGGCTAACTCACAGATTGAACCCTGAAACAACCTCTGGGCCTGATCAAAGTCAGGGCATGGCTAACTCACAGATCAAACCCTGTAACAACCTCTGGGATAATCTAAGTCAGGGCATGCACGGCTAACTCACAGATCAAACCCTGTAACAACCTCTGGGCTGATCTAATCAGGGAACAGTAAAGACCCAAAATCAATCAGTTATCTGTTGGTTTATACCTCAGGTATTTAATGATATAAAGAAGATATTGGACTTCATGTGACAAATCCTGGACCTTCAGCCGTGGCATAAATTTGCACTGCTATCCTGATGTGGGTGACGGAGCATGACTATAGGTTAGAGAACAGGAAAGCACTGGAAAGGCAGTGATTTGAGTTATCCTCTCCCCTCTGTTATGAGGAAAGGTGGATATTTTCTTGCCGTACATGATATACCCTCCTCAGACCCACCCCACCCCTTGGAAATTCCAAACCCCCTCCATGGGGGAGGTATGAATATTTCTGGTACTACACAATGTATCCTCCTCAGACCCATCCCACCCCTTGGAAATTCCAATCCCCCTCCATGGGGGAGGTATGAATATTTTCT